AAAAATTAAAAAGAAACCGATTCTGTGTAAATTGCAATTGTGTTAAAGCCTGTTCTGTTACAAAAAAATCAAGCTACTAATGAAGAAAGTGTGGATAAATAACGAATTAATTATAGTCCGGATCAACTGAAAACGCACAAATATTTTTTGATTTCATACGAAAAATCCTTGCGCATTTTCATTTTACCATTCATTTATTTCTATTTACCAATCGATTTTCTTCATTGGTAGCCTAATTTTTTGTAAAGGAACGGGCATTCATACAAAATAAAAAAATTGACAAAAAACAGTTATTTTTCCCCTGTTAAAGTTTGAACTTGTTTAAATTTTTTCATTTTTATTAATTTTTCAGAAATTTTGCAGAAAAAAATGATCAATTGATTAAAATAACCAACTTATAGTAAGTTTTTGTTGCGGGATTTCGATAAATAACTAACTTTTAATTAGCTATGACAAATTCGTGCAGGAGTCATGCAGTTGAGTTTGTTTTCATTACAAAAATAATTTCAATAAATTTTTTTCTGCACTTCGCAGATTCTTTTTCGAATTTAGGTCAAATAAAATAATGATCGAAATTTTACAATATTATTTTGATATTGGTTTTGTGTTTTTCAGTTTTGAAATTGGTTTTTGTTGTTTTTATTCATCTTATGCTTCATATATTCACAGTACTACGATTAAAATCTTTGATGCGGCTTCAAGATCAAATATGTTCTATGGTGCACAGGTGTGGGGTGGGGAAAGTCATGAACAGGTAGGAAAACTCTTGCGTTTCTTCATAAAGAAGCTTATATTCTTGCCTGCGAACACGCCAAATTATATATTGCATTTGGAAACGGGTATAGTCCCCCAGTACTTCCACACATCGCACGCTCATATGTTATTAAAATCACGTTGCCTTAATTTACCTACAAGTAGACTACCGCGTGTCTTTGCTGACGAGTCCATACGACGAGAGGTACCTTGGGTCAGAAATTGGAAGCGCCTATCACTCATCGCAGACTTGGAACCCCTAACGGAGTTTTCTCCTGCGTCCCTTAAAGTTTTTACCCCCTTGTTGCTTAGTAAACTTGTCGAAAAAGAGTTCAAACTTTATGTTGAGCGCGCCCAAAGTTCTAGCACACATGACCTTTACCCTCATTTAACACCCGTAAGGGTTAAATATTTCAACGACGAGCACTCTTCGTATGCTATTAGCTTAATCTTCCGCGCGCGAGGTGGTCTAGGCGATGCGGAAAGTATTTACCACTTTATCGGTGTCTGCCCAGCCTACAACGCGTCTCGTTTGGATAGCTTCGGTGAAAAAATTTTGGACCTGGCAAGAGTGATAAACATCTTAAATGGCGGTGATTACGAAGCGTTGTGCAAATATTTGCAAAACAGCATTAAATATAGGGATCTTATTATTAATGAATTTGCGTAAGCAGTTTATGTTAACTATGTTGGTTCTAGTGTGGCACTCAACAATCTTAGTTACTGCCATAATTTTTAATTTATTTTTAAATTTCATAATATGTGTGTATGACGTTGCAAATGTGTGTATTTGAATTGTTAAAAATAAATATACTACTACTACTATTAT